CATTGACAAAAACACAAATCAGACTCTGTCCCTCCTTTATACACTATGAGTTCAGTCAAGGATAAGCCTCTCCTATCACATGATGCTTTTCTACTGTAGCATGTGGCACTGGTAGCATTTTGGAAAACACTACATTGGAGGTCATTTTATTCAGTTTGCTTCCTAATTTCATTAACCTATTCTGCAGGACCTCATTCTGTACTAACTTTATCTTTACCTTCTTTTAAACATGAGAGCTGGATCATGAAAAACTCAAGCACCCAGGAGAGTGCTACTGTCCAGATAAAGTGGTTATAGCTGCAGTTAGATCTGTAACCCAGCTATCTGCCTGGTCCCTAACTAAATTATCTCTTTCTACCAACTCCAGATCTCCAGTCTGAGCTTCCAGAGAAGCCATTAACTTTAGTACATAAACAGTTTTGCAAAATGTGTTGGCTAAATATTCATGCTTTTTTGATCAAAATTTTGTAAATGGGGTTTTCAATATACCACAAGCCAAAGGGTCATTCTCTAAAGTGAGAAGGGTTATTTAGGGTTTATCAGGGTTATTCACTAATGTAAGGATTCAAGGTGATTCAAAGTAATTTCAAATGTAAGATCAAAATAGCCAAACTGGAAAAATGATCTCTCATCTAGGCTTTGCAATCAAATAATCAAGCCTTAAATTTGAAATTCACTTTGAGTTCACTCAAATTCTTACTATTGTCATTGTTTTAATAGTTTTATAATGCACATTTAGAATTGTGATAATCTATTCACTAATTTAAAAAGTGTCAATATAATAAGAAATTCTATCAGGCTAAACATCAATTACCAGGCTTAGAATAACATAACTGACAAGGTATTAATTAGAATTCTTCCTTCTGTCTAAGAAGAATTCATTTAACTGTGACCTGTGACTCTCATGGAAAATGTTACCTTCTTGTGTTGACATAAATACCTTTAGGTTAAGGATAAACAAAGTTGTTTTTATTGTTTCTCATTCCAGGGGATTTAAAGCCACATGTTGGCAAAACACACACACACACACACACACACACATACATACACACACATACACACACATACAGCTGTTATTAGCTAATTTTTCCTGTGGTGTAACTTTTTTCCATACATAACTATTTGAGAAAGTAACAGAGTTTTATCATTGGTTGTTGCTAACATTAACCCAAATATATCAGAGCAGTTTAATTAATGCCAAAATGATTCTGCCTATCCTTAGTATGACTAAAATATGTTTAAAACTATTTCTGCCATATAAAGATGCACTAACACTGAAATCAGCAAACACATCTGAACCCTTGCAATACTGAATTAAAATAATCTGTATGTTCAGAAAATATACAGAATATCACATATATTCAAATAACGTCACACACAGAGGATAAATTACAGACACCAACAAAAATTAATACATACTTAACTACTCCAAAAATTATACTTACAGGTCTCATGCAAGATGTAAATTAGCATACCAGTAAACATTTTACCCTCACAGGTCTTAATCAATATTTTTCACCCCACATGTATCACAGCATCTAAATACAACCATTAACAACCATTAACCCACCAGTGATTTACTAAACAAGCACGTTCCACCCAATAACACTATATAGGTGTAAAGGAGGTATTATCTGCATGCAGTAATCAAAGGTATACATGACACATTTCATTAGGATTTTTTTTTTAATTTTTAATTTTAATTTTATTTTAATGTAAGGAGGCCATTAATAACCATTAACTTACAAGAGTCATTTCTATTTGCCAAATAGTATTTTATGTGGGGTGGTTATAAATGATGCAGCTTTGTGTGGTGTATGTGGTGTGTGTTGATGGTGTGTTGACATCTGTAAATGCTGTGAGTTTTGTCTATTTGTGATGTGGTACTGCGTGATTAACAAAAAGTAACGTGGGTGGCTGGCTGTGTATGTTGTGGGTGGCTGTGTGAATATCTGTGAGTAAAGTATGTGGCTGTGTGCTATGTTGGTGGATGTGTGTGGGTAGCTCATAATCATGTGAGGGATTTCATGGTTTCTGGCAGGTGATGGCTGGAAGCCTGGGGGCAAACAAAATCTAGTGGCCCGATTACAATTTGGCTGCCCGAGCGAGCAGTTCAAACTATATTGCACAAGTCTTTCTGACATTCTTCTTCTCCTGTTATATCCTATCATAATCTCATTATTTGCAAAAATCCTAATATTCAGACAAGTCTGTAATTAAACTCATTCCTGCAGGGTAGTATTTTAGTGGGATAGGGCAGCACCAGAGTTCATGAATTTCTCTAATTAACATTTCTTCTCATTATTTGCTATTTATGAGTTCATCTTTATGAATCAGAAAAGCAGTTATGCAATGATTATGATATACAGTGATTATGTTATAACCTGAAAGAGTGGATAATGTAAGTTTATTACATAAATATATATTTGATAAATTGTTATCTACCTTACACTGTTCACCATTTGAAGTGCATTTTTTTCTTGAGGTGAAAGCTGATGAGGGTGTTTTCATTCAACCTTATCAATATTATTAATTTCAATATGTGTAATAGACTAATATGTTGGGAGTCGAAAAGTTGCAGTTTTCCACATTTTCGAATAAAGATGCCTGAAGACATTGAACCCTGCCTGGACCATTTTTCTAATACTGGTATTTATTATCTTATGGGCTTGTGCTGGCCTTTGGTTCAGTTAACCACCCTGTCTTAAGTGAATTGAGTGCGTCTCCTTTTTAATTTTTGTAATATGTTGAACAGACATGCATATTAATTGGAAGATGTGTCATTCCTTCATAAAGGCCTCTAAATAACCCCTTTGTATAGCTGTAAAGCATTGCAGAATATGTTGGCACCGCATAAATTAATAATAAGAATTTGTTAGGATTATGTTAAGCATCTCATAGAAAAAAAGGATAATTTCAATAATCCTAGTTACCTGTAACACTATGTTAAAGCGAGTTAATTTTCTTGTAGATTGTACATGCAATATTGCCTGTTTTAGTGTATTAGTGTATGTTGTATTGTATTTGTTTTAATCATGGGACAGCTTATTGATTGATTGCAACCTTTGGCATATGTTGTATGTGGTCTCTTGTCAGCTCCCGTCAGAGTTCTGTATTATCTGTGTGTGTGTGGCCTTCCATCAGCTGTTTGAAGGACTCTGTTGGAGCTGTAGTGGGTTTTCTGAAATTTCTGGAAATTATTCACATTGTCCATCTGTTTAAGAATGTCTAAAATACTTTTATTTATAACATTCCACTGTGATACATTATAATTTAAAACAAAGCTGTCCTTTTCAACTTATATAATGCATTTACATAAATATAATTCTTAAATTCAGGCATATATGTTATTTTATTTCTTTTTTTACTTTAGAGGTTCATTTGAAGGTAGATCTAATTCTTAAATTAACTTCTTTTAAATACTTTGAACTTACAATGTATGTGTCAACTTTATTCATGATTTTTTTCATTTGCTTTGTTTTCTTTGAACCAATGAGATTTTATCAAATAATATATTAAGTTAATGCCTGATAAATTCCACTTAGTAAAAGATTTATTCTGACTTTGATTATTCAGCTCAGCTAACCTAAACCGTAAATTGCTCTTTGTGGTTTTTAAGGTAATTTGATTTTAAACTTTAATTTCAGTAAAGAATCTTAATCCTTAAACAACAAATAAATAAAACTACACTGCTAATTTTAAAATGGTAATCTTTTATCAAACCTTGGATTTCAATCTGTCTCTGTTGAGGCTTGTAAGACCCTATGCATTGTGTGATTAGCACAGTAGTATTTGTTTTGTCTATACATATCAATTATAGCAATAGCAACAGTAATACTCATAATAAATCACCACGAACCAATTTATATTTTAAAGCTTATATTATAATCAACACACTCTTGTGCATTGTCACTGGTTTCCATCAAGTTGTCTAATAGAGGCTGTAGTAGATCACGATTACATATGGTTTGTACATTATGGCTTCAGCAGTTATAACTTATAAAAATTAGACTTGGGCATTTCAGAAATTTTCGTTTCGTACGAATGTATTCGTACGAAAAAGAAAATACTTTAGTCAGAACCGAATTTCGTCAATTCTTTCATTCGTTTTCGTACGATATTCGGTAGTATTTTCGTTTCGGCTAAACTTGTTTGTTCATTCGGCGCGATTTAATTGAGCCAAATGAATTGAATACATAAAACTATGTTCCCTAATCCCTAAATACCGAATAGCTTCAACCGAACTCAGTAAAACCATTCGTTTCAAATGTTGTACATTGCTAACAACATGGCATTGATTGAATTGTATTACGCTTAAAACTCCCGAACCGACAAATGCACGAACGCTGGCATTCGCATGAAAATGTATTGGCGCTATTAGTAAATTACCGAACACCATTCACTATAGCCATTCGTATGTCGAATGGTATTGCAAATACAATGCAATCATAAAAGTCAGTTCCCTAATCCCTAAATAGCGAATAGCCTCAAGTGAACGCAGTAAAACCATTCATTCGTTTACATTTTCGTACATTGATCTCCCAACACATGGCATTGAACAATGTTCTAATCTATTTACGCTTAAAACTCCCGAACAAATTCCCGAACCGTCAAATGCACGAACACTGCCGTTCGCATGAAAATGTATTGGCACTATTAGTAAACTACCGAACACCACTTACAATAGTCATTCGCATGTCGAATGACATTGCAAATGCAATGCATTGCTTTTGCTTAGTTTCTTGGGCTCATGAATCATCATGCTTCCCTGACAGGTGGTACTGGCAACACAGTATCATTTTATAAGGGAGTGGGAAAGAAGTAGTAGCCAATTAAATAGGCTTTTACATACTGCCAGTCAAAACTGTAGAAAAAAAAAGTATCAACTCAAGGCAGTCCTTCAATGCAAAATCTATCCAGATTTTCTATAGGCCAGCCATTCAGCCATTTTGGAGCTCAGCCAGCCCACCACCCTGTCAGCCATTTTAGGCACTTGAACAATGAGCCTGCCAGAAGTGGCCATGTCCTCCTCCAGCTCCTCAAGTGAGATAGTAGTCATGGATGTAGTGGAGGGGGGCATTGGCCACTCTGGCCAGGAGATAGGAGAAGCAAGTGGGAGAAGCAAGCAGAAGCAGAGGCAGCCCAGGATCTTAAAAAGAGCAGATCCTGGAAGGAAGAATAAATATGCAGATAGCTTTCGTGCAGAGGAGAATACAGTACTGGTAAACAAACTTTGCCAGTACTACCAATGTATATTTGGGGGAGCAGCCAAAAAGAGTTCCAGAGCACAGAAGGAAAATCGGTGGAGGAAGATTGTGGCAGCGGTGAATGCTGTTGGAGGGAACAACCGCACCGAGGACGTGGTGAAGAAACAGTAAGTGCACTTATATTCCTAAAAAATAATTTTCTTTATGCCATGTTTTATTAAAACTTTTTTTTTTCCTCCATGTGCTTTTGCTACACACACCCACTAGTGGCAGCTATGCTTTTAAAGTCTTTTAAAAGTGAGGGTTGGGTCACTTAAGCACATAGAGGGAAAAAACACCATGTGCTTTAAAGGAACACTATAGTGATAGGAATACATGTTTGCATTCCTGTCACTATAACTGTGAAAACACAGTTTAACCTCCCTCTCAGCAATGTAACTGTAATTAAAGGGACACTCCAGTGCCAGGAGAACAAACCGCCTCCCACCCCTCATCCCAGGGGGAGACCAATTGTGCATGCGCTGCCGCCGGCGGGGTGAGACCTAATGCGCATGCGCTGCAATGCTGCACATGCACATTAGACCTCCCCATAGGAAAGCATTGAAAAATGCTTTCCTATGGGGGTTTCAGCGACGCCACTAGAGGAGGAGTTAACCCTCCAAGGTAAATATTGCAGTTTATGAAAACTGCAATATTTATTTACAGTTGCAGGGTTAAGGGTAGTGGGAGTTGGCACCCAGAAGTGGTCTGGGTGCTTGGAGTGTCCCTTTAATTACTCATCCTTATAGCAGAGCTGTGCTCTGCCTCCTTGGCTGCGATCTTTATAATTGACAAGATCAGCAAATCCAATGCTTGGTCTGGGTGCCTATAGTATCCCTTTAAACATGTCAGTAAACATATATATATAGAAACATATTAAAGTAATTAATCAATTACACATGTCATCATGTCATTGCAGTTACTACGACATCAGGCGGATGGTGAAGAGGAAGGTGAAGGCAGCAGCCGCCTCCAGGAAGACAGGAGGCGGTTCACAAGAACCGGACCTGCTACCCTATGAAGAGGAGCTCCTGCAGTTCCTGGGAAGAGAAAACCTCCTTGGGATTGAGGGGACACCTGGCACTGAAACATCTGAAGGTACGATGTTAAAGGACCACTATAGTGCCAGGAAAACAAACTCGTTTTCCAGGCACTGTAGGGTAATTAGGTCCCTCCCCACCCTCGTGGCCCCCTTCCCACTTCAGCCACTTACCTTTCTCCAACCGCTTCAGCCACTTACATTTCTCCAGCGCAGGGCTCCCTCGGCGCTGGGGAACACTCCTCCCTCTGCCGACGTCAGCTCCGAATGCGCAGCAAGAGCCGTGCACGCATTCAAACCACCCATAGGAAAGCATTACTCAATGCTTTCCTATGGACGTCCAGCATCTTCTCACTGTGATTTTCACAGTGAGAATCGCGGAAGCGCCTCTAGTGGTTGTCAGTGAGACAGCCACTAGAGGCTGGATTAACCCTCAGTGAAACAGCAGTTTATCTAGAACTGCTATGTTTTCAGCTGCAGGCTTTAAACTAGAGGGACCTGGCACCTAGACCACTTCATTGAGCTGAAGTGGTCTGGGTGCCTATAGTGGTCTTTTAAATTCATATTTGTTAGTCGAAATGTACATATATCAGTTTGCTTGTGTTAACCTTCCAATGTGTGTTTTCTATGCCATCAGTGCAAGCCCCTCAATCCCC